TTGCATTCACGAGATTTGTTGCGAAACAACCGTTTCGCGACTTTGAAGCTTAATAAATTTCTTTTACATTTATGTGCTCTATAACTCATTGAAACACACCGCCACCAGCAAAAGCTTCCATACGACCGTTATTGGACCGTGTGTGCAGGCTGACGTAAATCCTCCGTATCTTCGCCATTTTTCCGCTCGACTTCCTTTGTCGCGCACATAATTTATTGTACCTCTAAATTTACGTAATTTATCGTCCGGTTTAAATCATCTTTCTGGAATTTTTACAACAACAAACTGCATAATTGTTGCCGCATCTACAGTCCGGTATTCATCCTCGATAAGGATTGTATAATTATTTTTCCAACGCAACTCACAACTCCATTCAGCCTCTGCTCGGTTAGAAACCGCTAAAGCATCGGGTATGTCCCAATTGAGAAAATACATCGCATTTTCTTTTTTATAAATGGAGACCACATTTTACGGCGATATTATCTCGACCATATAAAATTCGAAACATAATTTTCGCCACTAATTAATGCGAAACTCCTATCCGTTATCACAATTAAATGTATACGTGCGAATATGCAGAAACACACATATTAATTCGCTTCGCTTTAGCGATGTTACGCCTGTCCTTCGCTCACTGTTGCATCCGTAATTTATGACGTAACCAAATTTATTTCGCTTGTTATCATTTCCATGCGCGGGACCTAATGAATACCGCGCACGAGAGAAATGTAAACAATCTCTTTAGGGTAACAATTGTCGCGAAACGAATAAACGTATGCAAATTGTCAAGCACGAATACTGCAATTGTGGGCAAAATATACATGTAACCGAAAAGATAAATCCGTAAAGCTTCACGAAATTATGCTGTCTTCAGATAAACAGGCGTTCTCCGTTTCTCGTTGCGTTCGTATTCCGACGTTGCACGTCCATTTAGTATCGACTTACCTCGACATACTCCATACGCATTACATCGAATATCGTATACATCTGATTAACTTTTTTACCAGCACCATTTCGTTTGGGATGCATCGCAGATGGGATCGACAGCGCTTCACTGTCTGGTAACTTCCTCCGCCTCTCTCCCACATGTTTCCGTTTACACATGCGCCGGTAAATGTGAGCCATCAATTTCACTTAGTATCCAGAAGAGAGAGATTTCAGGATAGCTTCTCGTCTTGTTATTCCGATACTCGCTTTTCTCCGTCCCATTGAAGGAGGCAAAAAAAGAAAACGGACGATTTTACCTTTGCCCTCCAATCTCTTTGCTTGTCCTGGAGATATTCTACAAACTCCTGGCTCATGTTCTTGTTAAACTCTTAAAAGGGAGGAAGGTATTTTAAAGAGAACATGAGGGATAATCACATCAGTTGTCGTCTCGTTGAAATCAAGAACCAGGTTTACCACAAAACTGGAAACCAGAAAAATGTCAGAAAAATTGAAAACGGTAAGGAAAATTGAGGAAAAGTCAGAGAAAAGTCAAAATTTTTTGAAAAATTAAAATTTCTTGGTTTTAGAAATTTAATATGCATATGTCATATTTATTCAATTTGGAATACTATCAACTTAACAATTGAAAGGAAATGGTGTGAGCAAATTTTACATATTAAATTGTACCCTCAGTAAGATACTTAACGATTTCCAAATCAGAATAAAAATGCACAAAATTTCAAAATTATTATTGAAGCATCATGGAAGTTGTCTGGAAATCAGGGAAAAATTATGAAATTTTAGAATGAAGAATTTGCAATTCTAAGACATACATACTCGTATAATACATCTCAATTTTAATGACGAATTTTTCGAGTAGTTTGAAGTGAATTTTTGTCAAAAAAGAAAAAAACGTCGAAATGCTAATATCTCCTAAAGTCTATTACTTCTGGCGAATCTATAGTTCCGGCCGGCCGGAGTAAATCTCCAACTTTGCAGTTCGGTATGAAAAAAAACGTTTTTTTTTTCGCATTCCGCAAATAATGAGAATTACGATCACGTCTGCGGGCGACTGATTTCGAAATAAAATTCGTTCTATTCGCCGAGAGATTATAATAATTCACCGGGCACCGTTACGCAGTCCGCCCACGAACCGTTCCGCATTTCTGCCACCCCTCCCTCCCCCCTGCCTTCCGCATCTCGCCCGAAAGGAGCAGACAGAGGCAATAATCCGGCCATAAGTTTCATCCCATCGTGCAGATAAGATTATTGCGCGACTATTACTCGAACTGAAAAGCGCTCGATTGAAACGGGTGAGAATCTAACAATAGGCAGTAGAAGCATAGAATGCATTAATCGTGGTCTCTTAATTGTCGGAACAAATTAATGATTAATCTTTTATCACGGCGAGTATTAAGCGAAAATTTTTAATACACGCAGTAACGAGATGGAATTTTTTGTTTATTGAAGTTTACAACATCAAAGTTTCACAATAAACGTTAATTGTCTAATTTTCTAAAATGTTAGGATAGCTTTTGTGCAGTTGTGTGACATTCATTATCTCAAATTGGCGCAATTAATGGACGCTAATGTCATTGAAATAACAAACTGCAACTTGTTTCAAAGGTCAGTGTGTGTAATTATTTTCGAGTCTGGAATATCGTAAAATGCAAAGGCTCGAAATCGAGGCGTGTTTGGACTCCAATTTAATATTTAAATTTTATCGAATTCGACACACGCCGTGTCAAACTGCATCAATCACGACACGCGGGTGATCGTGCTGCATCAAAGCGTGGCCGCGCAAATTTCGGCGAGGTGATTTAATGGTGATTCGTTAACGGAGTAAACGTACCTTCGCTTGAATTGAGAATTAATATCTCGAATTTTCTCGCCTCGATCTATTTATCCCGTGTTCGGACTTTTAATTCGCAAGTAGCGCTGATACATTCATGCGTCATTAGATGTATATGGACGTAATGTGGACATGTATAAAGAAGAGAACCACAACTGACGCATATATACAGTGACGTGCAAAAATTTCCGGCCAGTGACATTTTATACTCTAATTTATATAAACAAAAAAAGTCTAATAAATTTTTAATTATTATTATAGTATTAGTATAAGATGTGGGTAACGAACTTTTGTACTAACACTCGACAATGAGAAAAATTTTATTAGACTTTTTTTTATAAATTAGAATACAAAATGTCACTGGCCGGAAACTGTATATACGCAGTCGAAAATGCCGAAGTGTAAGAGAGATTTTATTTTAGTAAATATCTCTCTCTCTCTCTCTCTCTCTCTCTCTCTCTCTCTCTCTCTGTGTGTTAAAATCTCTCACCCACCACGGAATGATTTCATAAAGAACGACGTACGATGAAAGCAGCAGGGTCGAAGAGAAACTGCTTGTACTTGTAACGCCGTTCTCGCACGCGAATCTTTTCACGAACGGCGTCCCTTTCGTCGAACACACGCGCCCGTGTGTTTCCATTTTCTTGCGATTTCGCACTAAGCCCTCCCTCCTCTGCACCGTTCTCCCATAATGGGAATTTATTTCCAACTACGTGATAGCTCGCCTGGGGAATACGAAAATGAATGCCGTGATCGTAAAATAACAAGCTGCGCCATGAACCGGGACAAACGTGCACGTACAAATTTCAAAACTTTCTCTCTCTCTCTCTCTCTCTCCCGCTTATTCGAATTTACTTGTTATTTTTTAAATTTTGTTTTTTTAATCTATGCATAACATGTCGATTTATCTTCTCCTTTTTTAATATTTTAACCGCCGGATGAGAGTCAATTACGAGATCGTCAGCCAGAATAAAATTCGCAAACTCATGAAGCGAAATTAATATTTCATCCTATGTCATCGCCATCATCGCCCGGGATTTTATGGGAGCTTCGATAAGCGCCGATTGTTATCGGCAGTCGTATGACGCGCATTTAATTTTTAATGCAATTGGAAATGTCGAATCAAATAACTCTTATTTTTGCCTCTCTCTTTCTTTTGTTTTCAGTCTATATTTTTCCCTTTTTTTCTTTAATTTCTCTCTCGTACTCTTTACATCACATTTTTTTCATCGATCCTGCGACGAAAACGCGACGCCGATACGTTAAGGGAACTTTGTAATTTCCAGCGCGAATCGTAGAACGACCATTTCGACGGGCAGACCTTTCCAATTGCGCTCGGTGATGCAATTAAAGTCGAGCCGCGGCAAACGAGATCTATCGGTCCTTCCAATATAATTGTTTCCATGATGTGACCGAACAGTAATTTTTCCCGCTCAGTTACGTCGTGAGAAATAGAACTTTATAAGATTCATTTATTTCCGCGAATATTTTGAAAATAAATATCGCGTTTAAAAGAAGCAATTATTATTATTCAATCTTAATAATAATTTAATTAATATTTATAGCTAAAGACCCTCCTTTGTAATTCGAGTCGCTTTTTGTTTATTTTTTCTTTTTTTTAGTTTCATTCATTGCGACGTTTTCATCAAAGTGAGAATCAAGGCTCGCAGTGTTTTTAATCATCGGTTTGTTTAAGAAAGGTTGGATCATATCTTCTTCTCATGCGAGCCGAGTATCTTTCGAATCACTCGCGCTTCCGACGCGCGTAGGGGATGAAATGGATATTGGGTGCAAGAGTAGAAAAAGAAAGAAAGAGAGAGAGGAGGAGGAGGAGGAGCTGTTCTAGCTTTCCGGCTGTCTGTTTCCGTTTTTCCCTCCCAGAGAGATCCGTGTGCCCCGAACAGAGAGAACGATGTATCTCCGCGGAGAAGCATCCAAGCGTATTTTAGAAGCTACTTGCGCGAACGGACGGTCGAAGAACAAGAGAAAGGAGAGTTCATGTTTATCAATTTCAGAGATATCCCAAGACACCGAATAGAATCGATAAAACCGCGACCCTGATAAAATCCAGAGATAAAACTGGTACATACAGACATTGTTGTATATCGATAAAACTCGGAGATAGATATCGGTCACAGTTTTAGAATAGATAGCGATGAAATCGATAAATGTAGATAGTTCGCCACGGATATTAAATCTATTCGTATCGTTCTTGTTACAGGAATTGAACAGCCGGCACTTAGACCCCGTGGAAGTGTTTCGCGGGATACCTTATGCTGCGCCTCCCGTAGGAGATTTAAGGTTTCGTCCTCCGATCTCGCCGATACCTTGGAGCGGTGTCAAGCTGGCGGATACATTCGGCGCGGTGTGCCCGCAGAATTATCCGGACCTCACCAATAACACTGCCGCACTTTTGCAGATGCCGCAAGGCAGGTATCAGCAGCTCAAAAAGATGGTTGTCTTCCTGGCCAACCAGAGCGAGGACTGTCTCTTCCTCAATCTGTACATACCCGGAAGCGGTAAGAATGCATTTGTCGGTTCTATTTAATAGTATTTAATAGTATTTAATCGTATTAAGAGCCATTAAAAGCATATAGAAAAATTTAAATAGTGTGATGTAAGTAATGAAGAAATCAATATATTGAATTGCTTGCTTATATTATGGCTTTATATTCTCAATTATGATTATTGACTAATTTACTTATGGCTTACGTCTTTCTGCTTAAATTTTTCTGTGTGTTATAGCTCTAATCGTTACACAAACCTGCGTACAAGTTAAAGTGTTATTGAAATTATTTTAGATAAATGACTCTTCATTGCATATTGCATGATCCACTTTCTCGTAATACTTTCGGTCATTAGGAATTAAATTACAACGTAGTCTTTTGAAGAAGGTTTCTTTTTTACGAAAGAAGGGCAAGGTCATACGATAAATAATATTCTAAGAGGGACTATGCAAAATTACGTTTCTATTGTCGCCTAAAGTATCTCGGCAGTAACGTAAAGTTTCTCAATTCTGACAGAATAAAAGGTATAATAAGTTTTAATGAAGGTCTTTACTCTTCAGGAAGGTGGTAAAACTACTCCACATTGAGTTAATGAAAGTTCAACTCTTACTTTGAATAAATAATGTATTTTTCACATCTTATTATTATTTATTCAAGCAGCACAGTTTATGAGCGTTGCAACTCGATTATCAATTCTCGATCGATATTTATTTCAAGGGAAACTCACGCACGTATATATCCGTTATAAATTCTTAAATAAAAAATTCTGTATTAAAGTTCTGTAATAAAAAATTAATAACTTTTAATGGTTCAACGCGTTCGTTCGTTGTGATTATGAGTGGGCGCAAAAAAAAAAAAGACTTAAATTGATTTCACGCTTAAAATTATGTATCGACAGGAAATTATGTATCGTCTAGAAGATGCAATCGACCGAGGTTAATTTTATACGATTAAAAAGAATTTTATATGCCGGAAAATAATACGTTACATTGGAACGTTATAAAGTTTTGAAGCGCGGCCATAATTCGGCTCCTGAAATTCTCAACTATATTATCTATCGGAGCCGACAATTTATGCGTCCGTATAGTATTACATGGCACAAGTTGCTTCCTAAAGTAATTAGTCCTAAAGTAATTAGTATACCTTTATGCCGGGTAGTATCAACCTGGGAGCAGCCGCATGCGTTACGTCGCACGTTACTCAGTGCGCGATGAAAGATAGAGGCGAATTTGCAACGTAAAGCGGCCGGTCTGCGCCGTAACCTCGGTCGGGCTACAAAGGGAAAAGGAAGAAGGATTGAAAATTGCGCGAGCTACGCGAATAACACAAGGTACGGATAGCAGGGCGTAGAGGAGAGTAAGAAACTGTAAAAAAAGCCGATCAAAAAAGATTCTCAATCGAATTTTCGTTACGGGGAAAGCGACTATAAATCAATCAGATCCCAGAATTTTCGCTTTGTAAAAAACTCCAATTTTCGTGAAAAACCTAACCGAGAGCTGCGTGTACTATCTCTCTTATATCTATATGACGCTTTTAGGTGATTTCAGGTTCAGATTTCAGTTACGGATTTCGTGACGATTAGAGCTCGCGATTAACGATCGCTTAATACGGGTGCTTTAAACGGCTGCTTAATATACGATTGCACATCAAGCACAGCTTTGATAAGACAAATATCGATTCCGTAATCGATAAAGACAGTGCTTCGCAGCGTCGAGCAGTACTCACGAATTGATCGATACTAATTGGGCTAGTTTTACGAGTTAACGGATAATCAAAGTAAGATCGCGGTGCGATTGAATTACTAACTACGATGATTGCGAGCTCACGTAACTTGGCAGCGCGCGAAAGCCATCTCCCGTGATAGTTTAGGATGATGTTCTCCCCAGACAGGTAATCTGATGTACCGAGTATAAATCGTATAACAGACAGACATTAATTAGTTGCGACGCGATGGATGGATAAATGCGTATTCCTGGTTTATTAGTTGCTGAGGTGATTATCAATTAAATGGAAACTTTTAATCTTGAAACCCAACTGATGGAGACGTGTACACAGAAGATTCGTAAGGTGGAAGGAAAAGAAGAAAAGAGAGAGGAGGTTCGCTAAATCCGAAGTACTTACAAACACGAAAACCTCGGAACGTGCCCAGGTCTATAAAAAGCGTCGAGTAATCCTAAAGCCTTATTAAAACAAGCTTTTTCGCTTTAATTTACCTTCGGTTCCGGCTTACGCGACGCTCTCGGCGTAAAATTTTACGTTCGCCGTAAAAGACGAGCGTTTAAAAAAAAGGGATATCCGTTTTATCGGGACGATTTTCTAAATCGTATCGTAACGTTTACGACAGCCGCGGCGGATCCGCGCGAAGATGCGTTCCGGAATCTCTCTGTCGCGTAAACCGCGATCGTGAGATACGCTTATTTGTGCGCGTGAAAAGTTGCCGCTGCGACTTTGCCACGTAAATAAATTTGTGGCAGCGACGATCGATCGGTGCCACGAAGTTGTTCAAAGCGAAGCACATCCGTCGCTCTTCCCCTTCGTCTCTCTTGGTAAATGAACAGCTTTGACCCGCGCTGCGCGATTTTTCTCCCATGGTCGTTTCTACGTGCAATGAATCGCGATACCATGGATCTGCTCGTTTCTGACGATTTCGCGAGACCGTGTAAAGACGTGACGAGCTCGTAGAGAATTTAGATGCTTAGTGCGGATTATGCGATGCAATTAGTTATCTTAATTGCGCAGGTGGCAAACGGCGAAAACGACTAATTGGCTGTAGGAATTTCATTTTACATTCATAGAGAAACGGAACATTTGCAGGGGGGGGGGGGGGGGGGGGTAGAGATCTGGGAGTGAATTTAGTTCAGAGTATAAACAATATTGTAAAACGAAATCGCAGACGCGCGAAGAACGACACTCTTAAAACGAAAACTCGCTAGGCGCAATCCGCTGCTTTACATTTGCGATTCGCTTACGGGAAAGAGGGATAAAACGGGTGTAAGCATAATGCTACGTAGCGATAATGTCGTGCGGTATTACGGGAAAAGCTGGATCTGTCAATGGAAGGTTTATACAGATAAGAGGTTTATTCGTGGAAGAAAATGAAAGAGCGACGCAGACACCCATTTGCCTGCTTGCTTTCAGGATCTCGAGGACTGGAGGCGCCGTATGCGGTGATGGTGTACGTACACGGCGAAAGTTTCGAATGGGGATCAGGTAACTTATACGATGGATCGGTCTTGGCGAGCGCCGGCCACGTCATAGTGATCACGCTCAACTATCGTCTCGGCATCTTAGGTACGTGCTACCCTTTAATCAACTGTCCCGCATCCCCGAAAGCATTTTCATTAAGCGAACCTTCTGACGCAACATTCCACGGACAAAGAAATTCCAAATAACATCCATCTTGCGTCAAGATACCTTAATTTCTATCTTGCAATTTCTGAAATTTTATTTGTTTATTTAAAACTTTCTTTACCTCTGAATTTGCTGTATTTTATAATTTGTAGAAAAACATTTTTTGTACTGAATAATGTTTAGATAAATAATTAATCAATTTTTTTTATTATAATTATCTTACTAGAGATTGGAAAACATAAATATCTAAGTAAAGAAGCGCCAATTATTGGAAAAGTTGCACTATATTTCTATAGTGGAAAGCGCGTTTATTACTCCCACCTCCTCGAAAGTAAGTTTGTATCATTAACTACTATACTCTTCGAAATAGAGAGATAGCTTCGTAGAAACCATTTACATTCTTAAGTCAATATTGGCACTTTGAAGACCCACAAATGTATCTCTGTCGTAGTGCGCTGCGAATATACGAAAGTCCGAAAATGTCAATTCTATCTATTTACTTGTTAAACTTCCTTGGTTTATGACTTAATAGCGTAACGAATATTTATACGCTTCGTTTAATTATCGCAGTTATGAAACATTAAATCGAATCTTCACGCTTGTCTCTCTCTCTATACTCCTCTTAAATTTTTTTAATGAAATTCTTCACTTGTCATAATCAGAATTTTTATTTCTTAATTTGAAAACACACATATTAAATATTATAAAATCAAATTTAAAATTTTTTTAAGTTAAACATAGTTATTTTTAACTTTCAAATGTGTCAAAATGTATTATTTTAAAGCCCATTACACACAAGATGACATAAGCTGCATAAGCATAGCATAAGGTTGCTGGAGCAATGAACAGCTTATGTAAATGAATTTGGCGTCTTTATGTCTCATTGGTCCAATGGCCTTATACAGCTTTTATCATGATGTGATGGATTTAATACGTAACATGTTGTCAAAAAAAAAATAACTATATCAACTCATTTTTGTAATCAAATTGCTTACTTTTAAAAACAGTATTTACATTAATACTAATAAACAGTATTTAGATTAATGTATGTAATTGGTAAATAATAAACTAAATTTGAATTAAATTTCCCGGCCGAGGTAATATTTTTCGCAATAAATTTATTAACAGTTTCAACATATTAACATCTTTATAACATGACGGTATTACTTGGTAGCATCAAATCATTAAATTGTTTGTCAATTTAATTCGCGATTACCAGAGTAATTTTAATTGCGTTTTATAGTTCGGAAAAACAATTCGGCGTGCAGTTCTAAAAACATTACAATATGCAAGTACATATATAGTGTATATTAATAATTCAAGATTGAATTTATTAAAAGCAATGAAAATTCAGTTTCGACCGTAATAGACATTTTTCTAGTATCGATTGTGTTTCTCACATATGCAGTCTAAAATAAAGATTCTTAATATTTGAATTAACACATTTCTTGAGTTAATTTATCTAAAAATATGAATTTAAATTGTTTAATTCTATTATTTTAGCTGAATTAACGACACATTGAGTAGAAATAATAGCAGCCTATAAAAATAATTTAAAATAATTTAAATTAGGTATAATTTGATATCATGAATTTAAGTCACTTTCATGACGAAATTTGCGAACAAAATTTTATCAAATGAACGCTATCGCATCGCAAATGTTGCGTGATAACGATAGATAAAAAAAGAGAGAAATGCAATAAAAGAATATCGTGTGATCCGCGAGAATGGTTAAATCGCGAACGATTTGGCATCCTTTCAGGATTCTTGAGGACTCGTCCGTTCCCTGATCGAACGAGCGGATCCGGCGGGAATTTGGCTTTAAAGGACATCACGATGGGACTCCGTTGGGTGCGTGAAAACATCGGCGCCTTCGGTGGCGATCCAACACGGATAACTCTAATGGGCCACGATACCGGAGCGGCGCTGGTGAATTTGCTATTGCTCGCTCCTTACAGTAAAGGTAAGAGAGGAATCCCTAGCGCAATTAGCAATTAATCCTTCGAACTCCGCCTGAACGCTCGCGTACGCCGCGCACGAAACGTTGAATTCCGCAGAATCCTGTTTTAACGGAACGTTCTTACGATTTAAACATCTTCTAGCAATTAGAGAGAGAGAGACACAGAAGAAACTTATGTTTGCAAACGATTTGCGTATCTAGACCACGATTGCCACCTCTCGACTAGTGTTCCATTGGAGATCAATAGCTGTTCTACCAGAGATCCTATTATCTTGCCGGAGATTGATTGCCATTATTAAAATTGTTACTATTTTATAGTATGATCTCTAAAAAAACTTTTTTTCGAAATTGAAAGAAAACCGATGCCTAAAAAAAGATTACTAAATTTTTTAACAGTCGCAGATTTTTTTTCGTTAGTTAAAGAGCTGGAAATTCTAGAAATTAAAAAAGCCAGAATTTCTAAATATTTGAATAAGAACGTCATATGCCTTCCGTTTCATTTAATTTTGATCCATCGATGTGTATACTTTGTGAATTGATATATCACGCTTCCTTTTCATGTACATCATCAAATCTCCATTGACAGCTTAATGCTGTCATTGCGTCATCAGAATTAACAGTTCATCGGTTACTCCAAGCGATGGTCTATTGGGGTATAAAATAAATCAATTTGATCAGCGCGGTATAAATACTGGGTGTTGAGGGCGGCAGAAATATTTGCTTGTCGAGTAACTTGATCCAATATTTACGCCGCTAACGTATTAATAACGTTGTTGTTTATGACAAGAAAACACAATGAAAAATGATACCAATATCGTTTCACTCAGCGTAAAATACATACGTGAAATTCGAACGAGAGGCTGAGCGATCGGAGGTTCGATCAATTCATCTATCGGCGGTGATTTCGCTGAAAACTCTTTGCCTGGCGAAATAACCGGCAGGTTAGAAACGAGGAGACGCTATTTGCAGGACCTTCGGTAGATTAATCGTCCAGGGATTAGTTGGCGAGGGTCTCATGGAAGAGACAACCGAAGGGTTGGTCCGTCCTCTCAAAAAAACATCACCAAGCTCGGGGTGACAAATTACAGGACTCCATTTTATTCGATAAGAGGAGAAAGCGAGATGAGACTTTTCCTTTTTTTCCTTTCCTTTTCCCTTTTTTATCGTCATTGGACAACACCAGCCAAAATTGAACGATCCTCCCAGCCTTTGTCCCTTCGGGTGATCGCGGGATTCTCCGCGGTATAGCTACTCAGCAATGTGAGGAAATTGCGCAATAATAAAAATGCATGGTCCTCGGAACGCGCGTGGAACAAAAGCAAGGACGCTAAAAGCGTCGTAAATACATCGCCGTGCGATAAATCCACACGAATGCGATTACGGCATGATATAGTTGGATACTAATTCCGCGCCAATCAGGCAAATTATAACTAACGCTGCGACCGTTGCTACCCATACGCTTTGCATAATCGATGGTCCAGATTCATTCGATTTGGCACGCTTAAATGTTCCATAGCCGCAATAATTTCGAAATAGCACAATTTCCTAAAATTATCTGTGCATTCTATATATATGTGTGTGTGTGTGTGTGTGTGTGTGTGTGTGTGTGTGTGTGTGTGTGTGTGTGTGTGTGTGTGTGTGTGTGTGTAAAATAGTGTTCTTTATATAAAACCTTCATTATTATATATCAAAGGAGCCTTAAATAACATTTTGATATTAAGACTCAATAAAATTAAAAAACGTAAAAGGAAAAGGATTAAACGAACCTAAGATTAATCGTTATAAATTAAAAATTGAAAACGTTAGTAAATAAACATGTCATTTAGTTAAAATATAAAACTTTAATTTACCGGCAATAAAAACAAACAAAATAAATGTTTCGATTCCTAATGGATCAATGTAAAAATTTACAACAATTTATAACGATTAACCTTAGGCTCGTAACCCTTTTCCTTTTTTTTAACATTTTAATATTTTTAGCTTCATATGTATGAATCAAAATATACCTATATTTCTGTAGTTAGTTTCAAAGTTAACAATGTCCATATTAACGTTTGCACTTAGTACATAACTAATGTTATGCACTTAGTACATAATAAATTAAATTTGAATCAAATTTGTTTAACTCCTGTTTTAGTTAGATTAATATTATATTGAGTAGGAGCAGTGGCGACTTATAAAAGTGATTCAAAATAACTCAAATTGTGGGGTATAATTTAACATTATAAATTTAGTAGTGTTGGAAAAGAAAAATATAAAATATATTGTCCAGATGCCTAGAAGTTTTAAAGTTTATTATTTTTATTAAATCTCTCTACCTCATAAGAATAACTATAACTAATGTAAACTTAACTCTTAAACGCCACACTACGAAAATAACTTGAATATAGCGTATCCAATTCGGTTGTTTGTAATTTTTATAAAAA